CCATAATACAAGTTTGGTGTTTGCTTTCATGTTTAGTTAAAAGTTTATGGCTAGAGTTATGGATGAACTTTCAATATCTTGTTAGTGATAATTATTTTGTTATTTGATGATATTATTTTGAACAAGTTATATAACACTTTTGCTTTTCTAATCATGATTAACTGGCAATTAGTTGTGATTATCTAAAGGTTTTAAGTTTGCAATGAGAATTGAAATTTAACACTAGTTCAAGGAAATGATAAATATAGGGAGTACACTCACGAGAGTAGAGGTGCACCTTTGTGGTTTTAGTGATTGTTTCATGTAATTTATAGAAAAAATGAACTTGTAATTAATTTCATAACTACGAGAGTAGGTATGGTTTAATTACAAGTATAGTTGATTCACTATGAGAGTAGGTTTTACATAAATTAGGAAATTACGCCATAAATAACCAAGATAATAGCATTTACTTAACCGGTAATTTCATTTGCAAGAGTAGTAAGGAATTCCATATATCTACAAGCTTTTCTAGTGTTATTTTCATTATTTTTATGTTAATAGTAGTTTAGATAATAAAGGAATTTGAAAACCACCAGTAATCGAAAATCTGCCCTGTGGGAGCGACCCTTAATACCCTATACTCGCTCACGACCTGTATACTTGCAGAAAAATTGCATGTGGGGTATTTCGAAATTTATAAATGTAAAACTTGACTGTGGATGAACTAATTGTTATATGTATACCTCGCGCTCGTCAAGTTTTTGGCGCCGTTGTCGAGGAGCGACAATATTAGGACCTAACAAACTTTATTAATTTAGACATTCGTTATGTTAGTTAGTTAAACTTTGTTTCTAGTTAAGTTAAAATTTCTAGTAATTTTGTGAAATCATTCTATATAATCTCTTTATTTTTTATTGTAGTGTATGCACGGGGCTTTTACGAATATTAGTACCTTTTGATCCGAAAATTGAAAGAACACTTCGTAGACAACGAAGGCATACACTGCAACAAGAAGGAGAAGATGTTCGACAACAAATTGAGAAAATTGCAATAGAGCTACCTTTTAAAAAAAAATGACGGAAAACGAAGCAAATAGGCGAGCTCGTAAGGATTTTGATCTATCGGGAACCCAAGAATCTCAACCAAGTATAGCACAACCACAGTAAACGCTAATAATTTTGAAATTAAACCATCATTAATCTAAATGATGCAACAATTTCAATTTGGAGGTAATGCCGTAGAGGATCCAAATACATACTTAGCCACATTTTTGGAGATATGTGATACAATAAAAATGAATAGAGTTAGTGAAGATGCTATAAGGCTAAGGTTGTTCCCATTTTCATTGAGAGATAACGTTAAAATTTGACTACATTCTTGTCGCGCCCCATTTTTCGCGATGAAAATAATTATTTACAAAAGATGTGATTTTATTTAAAAATAAGTGAAAAAGGACTTAGAATGAGACTTTAAAGACTGCGACAATTTGGGTCCAAAATTTAGTCTAAAAGGGTTTTTAAGAAAAAAAAAGAGTCGCCACTTGGTATTAAGTTTGGGTGTACCAAGTCACCAAAAATATATTTTTGATAAAAATGAAATAAAATAAAACCCTTTTCAACAACTCCAAGTCTTTGAAAAACAAGAGAAAATAAGTTCGGTAGTCACGATTGAAGAAAGTGAAGGCAAAGGTTCGATTAACTCAAACCTAAGGCACTCTTTCAACCTAATCTAAACTAGTTGTGAGATTTAGTTAAAAATTTTCCTAATCTAACCCTTAAATTTATCACGTTTGAATGTTTCCTATATGGATGCAAATCTAAATTTCTAAAAATGTCGAGAGGGACAAAATGTCCATTCAAGGGTTTAATCGATACCAGTCGCATTAATTACGAAGGCCAAAATAATTTCTTGAAAGGGTCACGAGTATGCGAGTGATGAAATTAAAAGAAAAGAAAATTAAATTAAATTATATACATAGGTATAAGTGATCAAAGGAAAATAAATGTAACATAATGGGTACGGGAGGCAAAACCTCATGATATAATTTTCTTGTATAGGAATCAATGAGGTATTTAAACTAAAGAGTTATAATCACCCATATCCATGTTCAAAGAATAATTTTCTTAATATGAACAAGCAAATGAACTAACTTATTTTACAATTTTAAATGAGATGTAATTCTAAATGATATGATTAACACATATAGAGGGTAGGGGATAGAGGATAATATAATAGAAAATATCATGCAAATGAGAAAAAATCCTAAAAATATGCATGAAAATGCAATAAATGTCACGCAAGAGATGAATCTAACGCATGAATGATCTAAGAGTCTAGCATTGGACTAGCCCATTTCTAAAGAATCTTACTAGCGTTGGACTAGCAAACATACGGAGAGAGAAGCCACAACTAGCGTTGGACTAGTGTGGTGACGCCATGCATTAATAATACATAGTAAAACAAATAAGACATAAATTAAAATAAATAAACGCATAAGAGCACGTAGCACGTAACACATAAACATAATATCTAGATGCAAAAATTTTAAGGAAAGCGGGTAAAGCATATAACACATAAGCCACATAAACACACAAACCTACCTATTATAACGGAGAATCTAACTACAATCTAAAATGGAAAAATATAAAAAATAAAACCTATCTATTCTATCTATTACAATAGGGAATCTAATTACAATCTAAGATGGGAAAGATATGATAAAATAAACCTAGTTATCCTATCTATTACATTAGGCTATCTAATTACAATTTTTGTAAAAAAAAAAAATTACTTATCTATTACATCTTGAGGTATTTAAACACCTCTCAAATAATTATAAAATTAACTAAACAAACATAAGAAAATTGGAATAAACATTTGAATTGAAAAAAATAACAAAACATATAAAAATATATATACACATAAGAGTACGTAGGAGCACATAAGAACACGTAATTGACATTTAAATAATAATAGGAGTACCTCCCTTTTAAAGTGGTGACTAAATAGAGTCAAATTACCCTATTTATACTCAAAATGAACAAAAGAATCATGGCACCAATTTAATTGAAAATAATAATAATGATAAAAATATTAAATTCACCTTAACATGTCAAACGTAAAGAAATTTAAGAACATTTAAAAATTACGAGTTAAATATACTCAAAAGTAACATAATTAGCTATTAAAGAAAAGAAACAATTATAATAAAGAGAGTCAAAATTCACTAGGGATTAAATTACAAAAATTGAAAAACTTTTAGGGTCAAAAATATAATTTTTCCAAAGTTTAGGGGTCAAAATTAAATAAATGATAAAGTTCAAAGACCAAAGTGTAATTATTTGAAGGGCCTAAGTGAAAAAAATTTAAAATCTTCTGGGCCATAGTGAAATTACTCAAAAGATGAGAGGTTAAAGTGCAAATTGTGGTTTCTGATTTGGGCAAGTAAAGGTCATCGGGCCGTCATTTTATTTCTTTGGGCCGAACACTACCTAAACCCAGCCGAAAGTCCAAGAGAAGCGAGTAGTTCAACCCGTTTTTTTATCACTCAAGTCCAACTAAAAGATGCATGGGCTTTGGTCTCCTAATCCAAGCCGAAACCCAAAAAAAACAAACCAAAACCCATTCCTAAAATCCAACCAAAATAACCATAAGCCCACCACAAAAAAAAAACATTAGCCCAACACTTTTTTTTTTCATCTTTTTCCTTCTTTTTTTTTTCTTCTTCTTCTTCAGTTTTCTTCTTCTTCCACCCGAGAAGTTGAAACTTCTCCCTGCTGGCGGCTATGGCCGCCTCCCGTGGCGCCACCGCCGGACCACCACCGGCCGCCGGCAACCCCTCCGGTTGTGAAAAATTGCCAAAATACACCTCCACTCAACTTTGCGCATAGAATTCGATTTTGAAGTTAGTTTTTACAAAAAAACGACTCGAAAGTGGCCAAAATGACAAAAGACAGCCCAATTTTTATTTTTTCAAAACACCATATCTTTCACAAAAAATCATAAAAATTATACTATAACACTCCTTGCAACTTCTACAATATAACTATGATTTTAATTTGACAAGAAAACAACATAAAATGGCTAAAATAAAGCAAAACAACCCCTAAAATTCATTTTTTCTATTTTGGCATTTTTCCAAACAGTTAACATGCATATACAAAAAACATTCTTCTTTTCCTAATCTAGTTTATGACATTCCCAAATTTTCACCAATACAACACCAACAAAACCAGTAAAATAAAGCAACAAAAAAATAACCACACATACATTCAATCTAGTTAATTAAAAAAAAAGCTGGAAAAAAGGAAGAGAAATAGCTCAATGAAGAATTTGGTCCCTTGGCCAAAGTTTTTGATGAAATTGTCAAGCTCCAATAGCCTAACCGATCGCTGCCTCCCTTTTGTTGTGTGCAAGTGTGTTGGAAAAATATTGGGAGAGAGGAGAGCCGAGGGTGAGAGTGAGGGTGCTTCTTGTTGTCTTTTTTTTTTCTCTTATGTCTGATGATGTCTTGTCTATTGGGAGCAAAAGAAAAGGCCGAGAGTCAAAGTTTTTGGGAGTGGAGAGTGCTTTTTGTCCAAAGCCAAGAGAGAGCCGAGAGGGATGTCAAAAAGTCCATGGAATTTGGTTGCCAAAAAATGATTATCTTCACCAAAAGACAAGAAGGATCCATGAGATAACATGGATTTTTTACCAAAATGAGAAGAAAGGTCAATGAGGATGGAGTGTAAAAATGGGTCAATAGTAGTTTTGATGAAACAAAAATGATTAGGATGATTTTTGATTTTCTTCTTTCTTTTGTTTGTTTTTCTTTTTCCTAAAATAAACCTGGAAAAATGAGAAAAATACACATTAAAATGTAAAAAAATAAATAACTCATTAAATAGAAAAATTCAAGAAAATATTAAAAATTGATAAAAATTTGGTGTCTACAATTCTCATGCCCCTAACACTTTCACTACTTGGAATGATTTGTCTATGGTGTTTTTGAATAAATCTTCCCATCGGATAAAATGGCTAAACTTAGAATGAATATCACTAGTTTTAGTCAATTGGATGGAGAGTTATTATATGAAGCATGAGAAAGGTTTATAGATTTGTTTCGGAAATGTCCACAACATGGACTTTCTGATTGGCTAATTGTACAAATCTTCTATAATGGTTTATCCTTTTTTATTAAAACTACTATCGATGCAGCCGCAGGAGAAGTATTGATAGCAAAATCACCTTAAGAAACTCAAATTTTGATAGAGAAAATGGCGGCAAACAATTATCAATAGACTAATGAAAGAGATAATCCAAGGCGACAAGCAGGTATGATTGAAATTGATACCATCAATATGCTTAGTGCTCAAATGAGTAATATGATGAAGGTACTGAATAGACAAGCCGGATGTAGTCCAAGTTCTTCTTCCAATGTGCATGTTGGTTGTTGTTACATATGTGGAGGAGAACATGATACTAACGAATATGTTGATCTTGAGCCGGCTCAATTTGTCAATAATTACAATAGGAATATTCAAAACAACTCATACTAGAATACATACAATCTGGAGTGGAGTAATCATCCAAAATTTGGATAGAAAGAACAAGGCAATCCACAAAGACCAACCAATCTGCCGAGATTCCAACCAAAACAACAACAAACGAATACTAAACTAAATTGGGAGATTGCGGTGGAAAAATTGGCAAAGGGTACTTCGGAGAGATTCAAGCTGCTAGAGGGGGGGTTGGATCAATTGATCAGAATGTATAGAAATGTGGAGGTCCAGATTGGTCAAATCGCCAATTCTATTAATAATTGAAATCAAGGGGAATTGCCAACTAAAACGGAGGTAAATTAGAGAGAACATGTAAAGACCATTACCCTGCATAATGGTAAATGATTACAGGAGCCTCCAGTGATAGAAAATGGAGGGGACAATGAGAGTGAGAGACAAGGAGATGAGCGAATGGAGCAAGAGGTAAGTGTGGGGGATGGTAGTAAAGGAAAATTGAAAGAAGAACAACCTACAACCTCCACTACTGTTCCGATACCTCTGGCAGTTCTATGTTCTCAATGACTCAAGCCAAATAAACTTGACAAAAACTTTAAAAATTTGTCAAAATTTTCAAACAATTGCATATTAATATTTCTTTCGTTGACGCTATCTTACAGATTCCTTCATATGTCAAGTTCCTCAAGGAGATCATGACATGAAAGAGAAAATTGGAGGATCGCAAAATGATAGCATTAATGGAGGAATATAGCACTATTATACAAAACAAGCTGCCACCAAAATTGAAGGATCATGGGAGCTTTTCTATACCCTGCACCATCGGTAACATTGAATTTTCTAAGGCATTATGTGACCTTGGTGCAAATGTATCATTAATTCCTTTAACGGTGGTTAGACAATTAGAGTTGCATGAGCTAAAACGCAATAATATCACTTTGCATTTAGCCGATCGGTCTATTAGATATCCATTAGGAATCTTGAAAAATGTGTTGATTAAGTTCAAAAATTCATCATTCCTGTGAATTTTGTGGTATTAGATATGGAGAAAGATATGTGTATGTCAATTATTTTAGGTAGACCATTTTTAGCAACTGCGGGTACTATTATTGATGTCAAAAATGACAAATTAAAGTTTCAAATTGGTGAAGAACTTATAGTATTTAAATTGAATGAAATGGAAAAGTACCCTTCTTTTACTGATCATACTTGTTTAATTGGCACTATTGAAATGCTAACCCAAGAGTTGAATCTAGTCAATTTTGATTTCGATTCTCTAGAATTTTGTTTAATAAGTACAGGGAAACAGGAGAAAAATGATGAAAAAATTGAAGTATTGGCCCAATATTTAGATGCACAACCTCCTTATAGGAAAGGGCATATGTACAAGAATCTTGGACAAGGAAAGCGACTTCTACTACCTTCGGAGATAGAAGTTCCAAGGTTTGAATTCAAACCACTTCCTAGCCATTTGAAGTATGAGTTTCTTGGTTAAAATGAAACTCTACCAGTGATTGTCAGTACTTACTTGGAAGAAGAACAACTTAATAAGTTGCTAAGAGTTTTAAAGAAGCACAAGAAGGCTATCGGATGGACCATCTCCAATATTCAAGAAATTAATCCTTCTATATGCATGTATCGATTCTTTTGGAGGATAATTGCAAACTGGTGGTCGAATTGCAAAGAAGGCTTAACCCGAACATGAAAGAGGTGATAAGATTAGAATTTATCAAATAGTTGGATGTAGGTATAATCTTCCCTATATCGGATAGTGTATGGATTAGTCCAATTCATATTGTCCCAAAGAAAAGTGGAACTACCATAGTTAAGGGAAAAATGATGAACCTATTCTCTCTAGACTTATGGTAGGGTGGAGAGTGTGTATAGACTATAGAAAACTAAATGCAGTCACAAAAAAAGATCACTTTCCACTACCCTTTCTTGATCAATTATTGAAACGTATTGTTGGTTATGAATTTTATTGTTTCTTTGATGGATTTTCAGATTATAACCAAATAGCAATAGCTCTCGAAGGTCAAGAAAATACCACATTTACTTGCTTGTATGACACATTTGCTTTTAGAAGGATGTCATTTGGCCTTTACAACGCCCTTGCCACATTCCAACGCTATATGATGGCAATTTTTTTCTGATTATATTAAGAAAATTATAAAGAATTTTATGGATGATTTTTCTGTATACGGTTCATCGTTTGATCATTGTCTTCATAATTTGGACTTGATTTTGCAGAGATGTGAAGAGACGAACCTTATGTTGAATTGGGAGAAGTGCCATTTTATGGTCCAAGAAGGAACTGTCTTAGGGCACAAGATTTTCACAAGAGAAATTGATATAGACAAAGCCAAAATAGAAGTGATTGAGCGAGTGCTACCTCTAAATAATATTAAGGGGATTAGAAGTTTTCTAGGACATACGAGCTTTTATAGACGATTCATTAAAGATTTTTCCAAAATAACTAAACCATTATGTGATTTATTGTGCAAAGATACCCCATTTTATTTTGATGATAAATGTTTAATGGCTTTTGATAGGTTGGAAAAAGAGTTGACCTCAACGCCGATTATAACTTCACCGGGTTGGTCTCTACAAAATGATCGGATCCTACCTTACCTTGTGCACTACCCCTTTAGATGGTACAAGAAACATAAACATGCAAGTCTCATTGGATTAAGTATCCGAGACACAGGGTGGTTTATTCCTATAACGGGATTCCCTAAATGGCATTCCCTTCTAGGGTTTATGCTTGATGCCATTCATTAAAGCGATAAAATATGCAGTACACAAATGAAACGTGACCTAAAGGAACCCCTTTTTGTATGTCGGGTTGGGCCTAAAATGAAATGTATTCATGCTGCAAATATGAAGCATTGAATTTAAACGTGTCATGTCGAATAGGGTAGGCTCCTACAGAGTACCATGCCAGGACTCTTATTTCCTAGGGCTCATGAATGTAATGGAAACAAGAACCAAGAAAAGTTAGTTCAATCAGATAAATACACATAACACATTGTAGCAAAGAGATAAAGCAATAAAAAAGGAATTGAGGGGTTGGATCCCTCCCCTCGTGAATGGTGTCTCTAATAGGGTAAGGCAGGCTCTACCCTAGGCAAACTACCATGGATGCATGAGGTGTTGGCTCACTAATGCATCTAAACTCGATAGGTTTGAGGTCCCCGAGCCTTCAGACTTGGAAACCAAAGGTCATCAATCCCAAAGTTCTTTGTCGGTGGCTCGAGCGATTCCCCAGATACTGCTACGCACACGTCGTGTCACGGCTACATGTCTGAGTGAATCTATCAAAAAATCCTCAACCTTCGACTAAAAGCTAAAGGCTATTAACTGAAAGCTTAAAGCGGAAGATTGAGTGACCCCTTGGATCATGCTACGCACACGTCGTGTCGCGATCACACATCCAAGTGGGTCGCCTAATCCTAATAGGGTGGAGTGGCGTGACAAGCCACTAAAAGAAAAATAAAGGAGGGATAAATAATAAAACGTATGCATGTATGCTAGTGCTCCTTTTTGGAGGGGAGAGATCGAGAACCAATGCGAGGCTCTAGGGTAATGTCCCCCACCCAAATGCAATGCAAATCGCGGGATCACATAGATAAATCATTCATCCATCAAATTAATCGTACGCAAATGTGTGAGGGAGTGAGTTGATACGCACGAAATGCAAAACACTAAAAAAGGAAAAATGCAACCCTAAACATCCAAATGCGATATATGGAAAGGTTAAAAGAAGAAAAAGATTGACTAAATCAAATTTGTTCGGACTCTCTAAGTCCCCAATGGAGTCGTCAACTGTCGCGCCCCATTTTTGAAAGATAAAGAAAAATGAATTTGTTTTAGGAAAAATGGAATTTTTGGATTATTTTTGAATTAAAAATGTATTTTTGATTTTAAAAAAGAAAATAAAGAAAATGTGGGTCTAAATGGGACTTGAAAATGCGACGATTTGACCCAAAATAATAGTTTAAAAGGGTTTTGAATGAAAATTGGAGTCGCCACTTGGTATTGAGTTAAGGTGTACCAAGTCACCTAAAAAATAAATTTTGAGTAAAATTATAGAAAACCCTTTTAAACGACTCCTAAGTCTACAAAAATCAGAGAAAGTGTTCGGGAGTCACATTTGATGAGAGGGAAGGCAAGGACGAGGTCCAAGGCACCCTCTCAACCTAGCCAAGGCTAGTTGCGTGATTTAGTCAAAGATTTTCTTATTTTAACATAAAGATTTATCACATTTGAATGTACTATATGAATGCAAACCCTAGACTTAGGGGGGCATCGGTGGGCAAAAATTCTCTTCAAAGCTCGAATGGTGCCAATCACATTAATTGTGATGCCCAATAATGACTCTTTGGAGAGGTCACGAATAATGCAAAAATATGAGATTCCAAGAAAAGAAAAGGGATAAAATAATTATAGAAATATACATGTCTTAAAAGAGTGCATCATATCGGGCACGGGGGACTAATGTTCATGACTCAATTTTTTCTTTAATAGAGGGAATACGAGCGTGCTAAGGCTAGAAAGCCAAACTCGTCCATATCCCATATCCAAGGGGGTATTCCCTAATCTAATCAAGCAAATGCACTACCCTAATCCT